AATCGATCAAATGGAAAATTTGTACGAATTATATTTGTATTATATGTATCAATAGATGTTTTTATTTCTTCATTAATCATTAATATATCTTCATCATCATAATCATGATCGGAAATTTTCAATGAACTTCTATGACTTTCATATTCATCATCATCTTCTTCATCATCAGAAAAACGTGGTGCAGCTGTTGTATTTGCTGACATTATCATTATATCACTAGATTCTTCATCCATTGTTATTGGCATAACAGCATTTGGATTACTATCATCATTAATTACTATCACTTCATCATTTATTGGAATACCTAAAATTAAGAATAAATCAAAATAGTGATGTCTTTAATCGGTTGTTTAAGGCAGTTAGCATATATATATATATATCCTTGATATCTTTCGTTCTAGATCTCTTCATCTTCATAGTAAAAACTTATATCAAGATGTTTTCATATGTGATTGAAACTATCCACTGTCCTATGAACAAAAATAAGTTCCTTTTCCTCTTCCTCTTGTATTAATATGTCCTTGTATACGTAACAGTATTTTGTATTTATTTCAAAATGACTTAGTTTGGTAATATTTAGAGAATAGAGACAACAATGCAAAGAAGAAAAATATCCTATTTAATCATTTTCAGTTTTAGAGTGAAAATATGCGTAAACGTACCTTTCTTTTTTTTTTGAAAACTGATAAACTTCACAAATGGCCGCCTATACTATTTGTTATAATCGAGAATGATACAGCTGTCAATCGAGACAGCGATCTCACTCAAAATTTTTCTCGTTCGACTACTCGAACTCTGTATGCACACGCTATGAACTCGGCTATTATGATATACATTCATGCCGCATGCAATGAATATGTTTATAATATTATGTGTATGGATAGCTTAGGCAATCAAGCGGAAACTTTTAGTGAGATTGCTGTCCCAGATTAGAGCTGAGTCATCATTGATTATTGGTAGTGGTGTGGGCGACCATTTGTGATACTTATCGGCTTTCAAAAACTAAAACATACGTTTAGGTACATCTACACTTTAAAACAGAAAATGTTTGAATAGGACATTTTTCTTCTTTGCATTACTATTTATATCCATTCAAAATCACAAAAATGAGTCATTCAAAAATAAATATAAAAACAAAATATTATGTGTGTAGAAATATAGTCGACTTATTAACCTATACAATGACATTCAAGTGTGTAGATAATAATTGAAGAGGAAAGGAAAAATAAATAATCGGAAAAAGATCTTATTTTGGTCAGCGAAAGACTGTCTGGATCCCAAAATAAGAGAATTATAAATAATGCTAAAGTGACGGCTCATATGAACTGATATTTATTCCTTAAAAATGTATCCGCTTGATTTTCATGATATGAAAACATCGATTATGAAACGTGATCTTTTTTTTTGCTAGACTCTGTGTATTTGCATAAGATAAATTTGAGTACTGCGGTTTATCTTAATTCAATGGAAACGAAAAATCTATACCGATCATATATGATTAAAAAGCTCCGAGCTAATATACAATATAACTCTCTACTTACATGAAAGATCTCAGATCTTCTAATATGGTTTTCAGAAAAAACTTTCAAGAAGACCCTCAAATTTTTTTTCATTGCATATTGCTGCTTTTGCAAAACAAATAGTATCGGAAACCCTTATTGATCAGATTACGTAGTGATGCACATGTGACAATTATTCGATTAGACATTTGTGATCCTCTGTAGTTCTGTCTGCCGATAAATACGTCGATAGCCAAAGAACCACTCACAACTCTATTAAAGTTTTCGAATATTGAGAGCTATGCACACTCATATTCAAAATATTAAAAGATGCTTTAGATGTGCGAAATAATTGACAATAATCGATATAGAGCATACTTTGTTGGCTAGTATACAGTTTACTTCTAAGTGAATCAACTTCTTATGCATACGAAAAATCTACATAAAAACTAACGTGATCATTATAAGAAAATTTGTCGCATTTTGTAAGTTTTTTTTCTAACCAGAATCTCTCTTATACAATTTTATCAATAGATTTATGGAAGAACCTCTTCACCTGTTCTCTTCCGATATGAATGATATTTTTGCCTGTAGAGTGCTTTGACTCAGGTATTGAGTTTTTAATATTTCTATTTTCTAAAAGCCTCAAGTTTTCACAAAAGATACTTTTCCACATTTTGATCAAAAATTTTGTGCATATAGAGAACTTAACCATACAAGCTTTCTTAAAAATATTAACAAGTTTCCAACAAAACCTCTTCGAGATATGAAGCTTTCAAGATATAGACCATTTTCCATAGATAGTTTATATAATATGAATTTTTTTTGGAAGCTTCACATCTTGAAGAGACTTTGCTCTAAAGCTGTGAGTTTGTTTTCTATGAAAGCCAGTCTAAGTGAGTTTTTTGTATGCTCAAAGTTTCAGATCAAAATACGAGTTTCCTTCGAATGTTTCTTATTAGAACACTATCTAGTATCTATAAACCAAGCATCATTGAAATCGAAACAACACTTTTGAAGAAGTTCCTTCATCAATCATTTTGATATCTTTGCTCGAATACTAACTGGAGTACAAGTCAAATCTGGGACTATAACAGTTCGAATGCAGAGAAAAAAAACGATAAACAGTTCAAAAAAGAGCTCGTCGAACATCTACAATTTCTGCTATAACATTTTTTGAAAATAATAATAGAAAGATTATATTGTCTAAATCTCCTTTTGATATTCTTTCAGTGAATAGGGAATATCTCTCAGTCATTGGATAAGGCTGTTAACATATTAGCAGCATACTCGGGCCCCAAGATAGAAAATATCTCAGAGAACACCTTTAGAAATTTTTTTTCTTGATTAGATTAGAAGACTCGAGGTTTTCAATATACCTTTCAAACTTTTGCCAATGGGGATCTTTTCTTATGGATAGAATTTAAAAAAAAAAATATTCAAACTGACTAAAATAAAACTTGTTTTGTGTTATTAATAAATTCATTATTATGTGCTTATATAATTTTTGAAATTCAAATTAATGTGACATTATCAGTATTACACATGAGAACCTCTGAAATAATTAAAGACAAACGTTCTCAAATAATTCAATGTATCTTACTTGTTATGCTGGATGATGGTAATGAAAAAAATGTTGTAAGTAAACGTTGATAAATTTCTCTATCATGTGTAAACATTTGTAATAATTGTTGTGAATTTAATATTGGTATACGTTGAAATAATTCACTAAATAAACGTGCTATATTTTGTTGTAAAAATGTTTTTAATGATAATATAAAATTTTCTGATGTATATAAAAGAAATAATAACATTTGTTTAGCATTATAATATGACATTATTAATAAATGATAACCAACAATAGTTGAATTTAATTGTACATCAAATTCATTTGTTATTTGTTGTAAATTATTAATATCAAATAAAAACCAATCAAAATAAATAGCTAAACGACATTGTACTATTTGTTCATTAATTTGCATTAATTGTGGTGATGATGATGATATAAGTGCAGCAGCATTCATTGCTGTTTGACTTGCTGTTATTAATGTTTGTTGTAATGTTTGTTGATAATTATGTAATTGTGTTAATAACCATGATATAAATATCCAACGTGTTATTTTATTTGTATTTAATTGATTACGACAAACAACACATACATAACGTATAATATGTGAACATAAATAAATTGCATCAGGATGTTGTTTAAAATTTAAATATTGATTTTGAAACCAATCAAAATAATATTTTTCTTGACTATTTAAACGACAATTATCAAGAAGAAATTGTAAATGTTTTTCTAAATCAAATGATAATGGTAATGCTAAATATTTTGGTTCAGTTTGTAATGATAAAATTTTCGGTAAATAATCATTTGATGTATTTAATGATAAATGTTTTAAAAATAAATCAATTTCACGTATATGTCCTATTTGTATTAATAGACGTATAGCATCACGTCCAATGCAATGAATATTTTCACGTGTTAATGTTAATATAAAATCAATTTGTCGTTGTTGTTGTGAACGTCGACGTATATATATTGGAAATATTGATAAAAATGTATAAACTGTTAATAACATCATTTCAGGATAGGTTTTTAAAAATAATGGATGTGCTAAAAGTAACTCAAGTATTGTTTCACATAAATCTAAGCATTGTTCATGAGGATTGATTTGTCGTAAAAAAACATAATATAAACGATCAATACCATCAATATTAGCTGTTAAAGTTTCACGTAAAAACCACAATAATTGTTGACGAACATTTTCATTCAGACGACGCCAATTTTTAATAATTAATGTTTCAAGTATAGATATTATTGATGAAAGATTTGTACCATTAAGAAGTAATAGATCATGAAAATATTTTGCTTTATTATTTATATCAGTTAATATACCATAGAGAAGTGCATGTGATATATGTTCTTTATGTTTTTTATTTGTTTGCGCAATTTGTAAAAGCATATTTGAATCCATTGTATAACGATTTTGTTGAATAGCAGCAAAACATGATTCAAGATATGCATCAGTTGAATCTTTTAATTCAATAGGTGTATAAATTAAAAGTTTAGAATCGGGTGATGTTGGTTTTATATTATTTGATGCCATAATATTTTATAAATTTTACTTAATTAGTTCGCAAAAAAAGAAATTATTTATATTTTTTCGAATATACTCACAAATACAAGATCAGAAAAAATCGAAATTCACCGAACTGAAATTATTTTTGAAATAATCATCAATAATTTTAATCTTGAAATAGAAATATTAAAAAATAATATTAAATAGATACAAAATTTTCTTAATATATAAATACTAAAATTTCTTCTTCTCAATGATGAGCTTGCCATGGACTACACTAAATCAATCGTATGCTGTAGTCAACAGAGGGCGTCAATATACGGACATTATCATAATGAGTTATTTAAAACATGTTAATTTATATATTCAAAGTATTTATTAAATAAATGCGAAAACCTCGGATTTAAATCCGAGTGTTATGTGTACTTCAAAAAGTGAAAAGGTATATTCACTGTGTTTTTTATCACTAAATTGCAAGGAGAAAATACAGACGTGCTAAGTTAGCATGGACCATACTGTATGCGACCCTATCCGGTGACCACTGACTCTACTCTCACAGTGATATTATATCTTTAGAAATCACAGGAATTGAGTTCAGATTCGTGTTTAGCTTGGAAAATTGGGTAAGAAGAGTTATTTTTGAATGGATTTGCGTTTGTATCTAGCAGGATTACGATCGTAAGCAACCTCATCAATCTATAAGAGATATATCATAGATACAGGCATCAGGATTTTCCTAATAAATTACCAATATTAATAGCTATCGAGTTAGGGTTTTTACCTTTCGATAGTCCTTTTGACTAGCTACAAAATCAGGCATTTGGGAAACCCCAAAACTACTGGTCATCTGAGACACATCTAGGCAATTTGGTTTCTGGATGCAGTTTTTGTGCATTTTGAGACCTTTTTCAGGCGATGTTTTGTTAGAAAGCTACTATTTGGTTCAAAAATAATATCAGATTCGGAATCAGCGTTAAAAACTGAGTCGATTTATATATGTTGTGAATAATTTTGAGAAAAATATTTTTTTTAAAAAAAGATCCCTGTACCCCCCCTCAGGGATGGTCTGGTCGATAATGACAATTTTTTCGATAACTCAGCCATTTCGTGACGGATTCTTCTCATCTTCGAACTCGACCGAGACATTGTTAAGACTGAACTGTGTAGAAAATTTCATCATGATCTGACTCTCCTTTCGAAAGTTATCGTGTAAACGGCCGGCCGGCCGGACATACTGACCGATTCTAGAGTGTACTCACTTTTTGAGTACACAAAAAGAATTCAAATTAATTTATTTCTTGTAAAGAGTTTTTTTTGATCGAAATCAATGAACTCGAAAAAATTTTCATAGAGCTAATTGAAGAAAATGAAACATTGTTCGACAATATCATTATTCAGTAATCATGAAAATAAATCTTTAAATATCGAATCATTTTTTTCCATACTTGATTTATGTTCGTAAATAAGAAGCTATGGATAAGAATTCGTAATATATTTGATGTTTCTTTAACTATTTAATAATACATATTTTATCCTTTTCAACTAGGATTTTTTTTTAGATAGTCTAAATTCCTAAAGTCACAGTTTACGATTTTCATAAACCTTGTCTAAATTCCCGGATGTACACTCTATAAAAAATACACTCAACATAATTTTTCAAATTGTTGTTATCTAACAAAGATACTTTGTTTTTTTTCTTTATACGTTTGGTTTAACTTTTATTTAGATCAAACTCAAAGATAGTTTACTTAGTTCAATAACATTTGCAAAAACACGTGATGTCGATGTTGCTTGGGTTGATGGTATTATTACTCATGGTGCACCACCACCTACAACACCACTCACAACAACTACATTTACCAGTAAGTTTTACATAAATTTATTCAACAGAAAAATTTTAAGAATGTTTTTCTTTCCTAGCTGTTGGTCAAACTAATACAGAATGGTATTTAAATCCTGTAACACGTGAACTTAAAGATCAGGTAAAATTGAAATCTAATAAAAAGTTAATTAATTATATTATTTTTAAAAATATAGATGCCACCTCATCCATGTGTATTTGTTAATGAACCAAAATTACTTGATCTTAAAATGGTTCTTATTCGACAACATGGACTTAAAGCTGAATTTGTCGGTGGAGTCCTTACTTGTGAAGATACAGTAGCTATCAAACGAGTAATAAACAATTTCTTTTATTTCACATATAATTCGTCTTTGTTTTTTTTTCTCGTTTGTTTAGAACGAAGCAGGTAAAATCATTCTTGAAGGTGCTCTATCCGATACATATTACAAAGTCCGACGAATCTTATATGATCAATATGCAATTTTGTAAAAATTGTCTATATATATATATATATACATTGTCATTTGCTATATGTCTAAATGTGTTATTTTTTTTTGGTTTTCAAATAAATATACGTGACGTTCAAGGACAATAACTAATAAATTTTTCATTCACAAAAACAAGCAAAATTTAAAAAGATCGAAATCTATTGTTAAATAGGAGTGATAGTAATATTATGACGAATTTCTTCTAATATACTATCCGCACCCATTTGCATTAATTTAACAGCTAGATTTGTACCACATAATTCTGCATTTTCTAATATTGTTTCATTTATATTGACAGAACATACATGTGCATAATGACGAAGTAAAGGAACATTTTCTATTGTTGTAGATGATGATGTTGAAGAAGTTGTTGTTGAAAGTGGATGAAGAATAACATCATTGTTTGAATCCGCGCGTTTTCGTTTCAAATTTATTGGATGAGATTGTATATCATCATCAGTTAATAATAAATCATCATCTGTTTGTGAAACAAGAAAACTTGGAATTGGTGTTGTCATTGATATAGTTAAATCCAAATTTTCAATATGATCTTTAACATAACGAGATCCATCAAGATTGAGTAAAATACCATTTAGTGTTAAACCTTTACCATCGTATTCAGTGCGAACAGCATTTGGAATACTACAACCACCTTCAACTATAAAATAGAATAGAAATTAGTTTTACAAATATAAGATCGTTACAAGTCACGTTTATCATGACGTCTATCTATTCTATCAAAAAGAAAATATAATACGAACTTTTTATGGTTCGTAAAATTCGAGAAAACAAAATCTTACGAAATAGATTAAAATAAAACTATAACTACAATAATACTTACTTCTTTTTAAAAAGGCTCGCTCAGCAACACAACAAATAACTGTTGGTTCATGATTGAGTACTGATAACATTCGAATTGTATCGTTATCATCATGTCGACATTCAATACCAAGTGCACCTTGTCCAATAGCATAAAGAACACGATCTGGCTCAATTATTTCGCTAATACGATCTGTCCAATTTAATCGTTGAAAACCAGCAACAGCTGCAATCATAGCATCATAACCAAGTTCTTGATTGTTCAATTTTTCCCAACGCGTATTCATATTTCCACGAATATTTTTATATATAAATTGTGGATAATTTAATTTTAATTGTGCAATACGACGTGTTGAACTTGTTCCAATAACACTACCAGCTGGTAATTCATTTAAAGATTTTTCATTACGCCATGGTGCTATAACAACAGCATCACGTGCATCAGCACGTTCAAGAATAGCACCAATGACCATATTTGGTGGTAAAGTTGTTGATGGAACATCTTTAAGTGAATGTACAACAAAATCAATATTTTTTTGATCAAGTTCAATTTCAAGTTCTTTGGTAAATAAACCTTTATCACCAATATTAGCTAATGGTGTTGCAAGATTTTTATCGCCAATTGTTTTTATTTTAATTACTTCATATTTAATATGTGGATAGAATTTATTAAGTTGACCAATCACACTAATAACAAAATAAAAAACAAACAAATATGAATTGAATAACAACAAAGATAATTAAACATACCTTTCAGTTTGAATTAGTGCTAATTCACTTTGTCGAGTACCTACTTTATATGTCGATCTTAATGGTATATACTGCATTATTGAATTAATTTTTATGAATTAGACAATTCAAACTTTCTATCTGAAATATAAAATATTCAATGTAGATTTTATAAGAAAAAAAATTCTTGATGAATTCATAAAATTATTCATATCACTCGAATTGTTAGTATTTTAAATATCTTATTTCGAACACTCCGTTATCACGATACCTTTTTCTTTCTCTCTATGCTAGGCGCAAAAGAAATCATATGAATTGGGATTTATGAAAAAACAATTTAATCAACTTGGACGCGTATACTAGCAAAACATTTTTTTTTCATTCTCACAAAAATCTCTCTTTTCAAACGGTCTATATATAGGTCAAATGTATGTGGGTCATAGAAAAAAAAAATTTCATGTACCTCGGGGCATATGTTTTTCGTTCTATCATTGATAGTTTATTAAGAAAAGAAGAATAATATCTTGTATTTATTCAAATATTGTCAAGTCATTAATGTCACAAAATAAATTTTAACCTATGAATCATTAAGATATTTAATAATATTAAATAGAAAAGAAAATGTTTATATTTTATAATTGTATTTTAAATCAATAAAATCTTCTCATTTACCTGAGATTTAAATTTACAATATTGATTATAAATTGAATAGACTTATTTATGATCATGTTTCAGAAAAAAAAACGAATTTGTCGAGTTTATAATACTCTCTCTGTGTACTGCAGACATTATTTTTTTTTATGCCAAGCATTTTTTCACCAATAGGCAAACCTAAATAGACAATAGAATGGCCTCGACAAGTATTGGTAAGGATGCCGCCACTTGCAAGAATGTCATCTGTCTTCATAGATGATTTTTCTATAGAAATATTTTATTATCTTCATTAGCTTTTTTAATATGTAACTCTCTCATTGATTTTAGATAAAGTATTACAGAAAAATTGTAAAAATGTTTAAGAAACCATTCTTCTTTAATTTTAAGACTTTCACAAAGTATTCGAATGCGAATCAAGAAGATCATTTTTTTTTTGTTAGTTTAGATGAATAAATTATATTTATAAATATCAAAGCCTTCGACAAGAACTTTTTTTCATCCGAGATACAGTGTAGAATATAATTAAGAGCATACGAGTATTAATGGTGTGTTTATGATTTTGAATTTTTTTTTTCTCATTTAATGATTATTTGTCAATCAGCAAATTGAAGTAGAGATCAGTTTTTGCTAACGATTCATTGAAAAGTTTATTCTTTGCATATCAACATTTTACTAAAATTTTTTATATTTATTTTCAAAAATTGCTGATGTGAATATACAGTGGCTCCAAAAATTATTCATACAAGTGTAATTTCGATTTTTTTCGCTAATGGTAACTTCTATGAAGAATCCAAATAGTGATTTGGATAGAGAAAATTGTTTCCAACAAAGGTCCCAGAAAGATGAAATTCTCATCTTATTCCCCAAAACCAGAATCTCTGGAAAACCGAAAACCTATTTTTTCAGCACCCAGACCC